CATCGAGGCGCCGGGCACGCGCTCCGAGGGCTTGAGCACCAGCGTGTTGCCCGTCACCGTGGCCATGGGGATGGACCAGAGCGGGATCATGGCGGGGAAGTTGAAGGGCGCAATGGCGGCGGTGACGCCGAGCGGCTCGCGACGGGCGTACGTGTCCATGTCCTTGGACACCTCGACGCGCTCCTCCATGAGGGTGCTCGTGATGCCGCACGCCACCTCGACCACCTGAAGGCCGCGCAGAACATCACCCTTGGCGTCGGCGAAAGTCTTGCCTTGCTCGAGCACGATGGCGTTGGCGATGTCGTCCATGTGGTCGCGGAGGAGCGCCTGGAGCTTGAACATGACCTGCTGACGGCTGAGCAGGCTGGTCTCCCTCCAGGCAGGGAAGGCGGCGTGTGCGTTGGCGACGGCGGCGTCGAACTCCGAGGGCGTGGTGAGCGGCACCTTGGAGAGGAGCGCCTGGGTGGAGGGGTCGTTGACGTCGAGCCAGGACGAGGTGGAGGAGTCGACAAACTTGCCGTCGACGTAGTTCTTTGTGGTGCCGCCGAGCATCGAGGTGCCCTGCCACTTGGACTCTACGTCCTTGGCGCGCGAGAGCGCGAGCGGGCTGAGCTGCGCCTTGGCGGCGCCCGACGAGGCGGCGGCGGCGGCGGCGGCCGCAGCGGGCTGGGCGAGCCTAGCGGTAGAGGAAGTGGAGAGGCATCGGACCGAGGAGGTGTTGATGGCCTTGGACGAGGCGCGCAGGAGGCTGGCGGAGTGCATGTTTGCAAGACAACCGCGCGAAAGAAGATGGCAGTGGTGGTGTGAGGTGAACGAGTGACGACGGCGACAATAAGTGCTTGGAAGGAAGACCTGGTGTGTTGGTTCGGATTTCGAGCTTGTGACACACAAACAACGGCCGGTCAGATGGTCACAGCGCAGCGTTCTGAGCGGCAACCGCGCCGGGGGAGGGACGGACAGGAGCGGACAAGAGAGCGGGGTAAGCCGCCTGTGTTGCTGGAGCCACGTTTGGCAGGAATCGGCCAATCATCGGTCGTAACGGCAGCTGGCGAACCGGCTTCCCCGCTTGAGCCCCACCGCGCCCCGCTGAATCCACCCGCCAAGTAGCCGGTGCGCCCTAATCCCGATTCGCGTCGCTATCAAGCCCAATTCACCGCGCAACTCGCCGTACTCGCCGGGCCTGCCTCATCTTGCTTGCACTCTTGTCTCACAAATGCTACTCTATCGCTGCCACCGAAGGTCCAGCTCGTCCGATCTATCGCTATCGCACCGAAAGCTCGTTCCGTCTGCACTGACCCTGGGCGGATTGATGGTGATCCCGGCAACCAAATTCATTTCAGGATGTGAGATTTGGATAATGGAACAAATGTTGAATTTCCACACTGGGCTCGCCGGATCACTTTCCGCAGTCTTTTGGAAAAGGAGAAAATGCGCGGGGTTGCAAGCGCAGAAAAAAAGGGGGCAGAGAGCACGCAGGCAATCACACGCCGTGTCGGTCAATTCGCAATCCGTCAAATCAACTCTTCCTTCCTTCTTCCACCATCATCCTCGCGCGCGAGGGATTCTGACAAAATTCGTAAGTTTTCACAACCTCAACAGCGCCATCTCATGTTCACAGGATGAGAAACACTTTCACAGACCTGATCCGAAATACCTCGGCGCCGAATCAGCGCAGAGGGTCAGAGGACAAACACTTTATTGCCTATTTTTGGCTGATCAACATGCAACGCTGCGTGCCCTGCGTACCGAGCCTTGTCGCGTTCAGATGACTGACCCGTGCTTGCACTCGACGTTTGTTTGACAGGCTCGTTCGTGCACAGTGTCGCATCCCTGATGAACGCTTTGCAGTCGATTGGCGTCCCGTGTCTTCCGCGTTCTCGCTCGAGGTCGTGGTAGACAGCGTGCGCACAAATGTCGCATTTTCAAGTCTTTTCCAACCACACACAAGAACCAGCATCGCTGCAAGACCACAGCCCGGCTGAAAACGAGGGTCAGTTCAATGCTAGGCTAGTCGAAAGCTTGCTCGTGTTTTGGCCAGCCAAGCTCGTCGACCTCTCCTACCTCACCTCGGACGATGTCTCGGCTAAACGGGGCCAAGGCGAGGTAGCCCTCCTCGTCGGCTACATCGTGCCGGGACACCCGCATGAAATCGCTGCGCTGGTCATCGGCACAGCTCGAGCACGATGCATAGCTGCCGCCCGTAGCAAGATCGAGTCCAAGAGCCTCGCCGTCCTTGGCATCTTGTACGACACCACAGACGGCATCGATGCAAAGCATCAAGCGTACGGTGACTCGCCGGTCTGGATCAGCGCTGTGCCGCGGGCCAGACTCTGTGACACTCCCGCAGTCTTCTCTGTACGCCTGGGAGGTGGTGCCGAAGCCATCCAGGACGCCACCTCCTGCGCCGTCGGGGTCGTGCAATACACGGTGCCCAACTCGCGCATGATGCAGTACTTTTCGCTCGAATCGCTTCGACTCGCGCCCGTGTCCGGCATGAAGCTCGTCTCGTTCGCAGCTGTGTTGCTCGGCTCGGACGCAGAGCCGGCGCAGCTCTCGTCTCGCATGGCAGCCTACGTCGCACCTTCGGCACACGAGCACAAGTTCCTGCGCTTGCTCATGCTCGATCCGGTGCACTGGCGATCACTCAAGGATGTCGAGCCGCACCGAAATCGAATGCCCCGCGGAACGTGCCTGCGCAGGTCCATCGAGCTGATCAATCGTCTGCAGCATCAGTACGCGCACCTCGCCAGCAGCGAGATCAAGAAGGCGTCGGCCAACGGAGGTCCGTGTCGTGCCGATCAAGGATTGCCGGTGCAGCGACCGATCGTCGTTGATCAACTGCATCTCCTTGGCCGCGTACTCACTCTGGTGGCGCTCGGTGTGCAGAAAGCGCTGCGCTATCCACTCTCACGTTCGGCCGGGCTTAGTCTGGTCTCGATGTCGGCGTGTGCACGCCAGCTGGACACGCGCATCTCGCAGTGGGTCGTGGCACCGCGGCTGGCGTCGCGGCTGCGGCAGCTGCGCAAGCAGCAAAAGCTGGGCACGCACGAGCTGGCAGCGCCGTACATTGGGCTTTGGAATGCCATCTGGCTGATCGCCAACGACGTCATCTTGGGCCACGCAGCGAGCGTGCTGCTGGTGCAAAACGCGGCGATGCTGGCTGGAGTGGGTCGAGGCTTGGTGGAACGCTACCTGGTGGACGGCGTGTTTTGGCTGCTCTCGTGGCTGGAAAGCTGGCCGGTGGGGTTGAAGCTCAACACGGAGCTGTCGCTGTTCTTTAGCGATGCCTATGCGTCGCTGACCAGCACGTGGCATTCGCAGGGGCTGGCGTACGTGCTGCCGCGACTCGAGGCGCTGGTGGTGGCAACGGCGGTGGTGGGGCGATGGATGGGTGTGACAATGGTGCTGTGCGTGATGCAAGACGTGGTGTCGATCTGCACGCTGCACATCACCATGTTCTACACGCTCTCGTCGCGCACGCTGCGCGCCTTCGTCTACGTGCTCTCGGCCTTGTTCGACGTGTTTCGCGGCAAGAAGCGCAATGCGCTGCGCGGCGGAAGGTTGGACGACGCGAGCTACGAGCTGGACCAGCTGGTGCTGGGTACGCTGCTGTTCACGCTCATGGCATTCCTGATGCCCACGGTGTACGTCTACTACCTCGCGTTTGGAGTGGCGCGCTTTGGCGTGGTGGCGTTGGAGGTCGGGGTGATTGAGACGTGCTTGGGACTGCTCAACCATCTTCCGCTGTTTGCACTCATGCTTCGCATCAAAG